TAACAGCCCTGACCAGCCTCGCCTGGGACCCTTACCCCTGCGCCCCGTGTGCCGTGCCACGCCATGCTCCCTCTCCCCATCGCTCCGTTTAAGATCAGGCTGAAGCCTTCAGTCCTCCTTCACGAAGCTGCCCTCCTGTTGCTGCTGCCTGGCACGCGGCTCCCCATCAACCTGATCTTTTCCTCACTGATGTACTACAGCCCCCGTGCATGGGTTTAAAAGGAAAACTTTGAGAGGGAGAATTTTGCTCCCCCTCCCTTGCTTACGTGCTTGACGTACTGCAGCATCACAAGGCAGGCATGGCAAAGAGAGCTGGAGAAGGTGGTGGTGCTGGTGTGCTGGGAAGGCAACACCCGCTCCACCTGTGGAGAAGATGTAGCTGAAGGGCTGTAACCTCCTGGCTGACAACCCATGCTGTGCAATTGCCCGTTTCTGCTTTTAGATGTTGTATGTGCCAGTTCTAAGCCATTTGGGGTGTTTAAACTAGCTAATGAGTCATCATTGGCTGTGACTCAAGTCAAACCAGGGTGAGATTAAGTGTTAAATGGCTGCGAACTGAAATCAAACTGAAAAGTTCGTTAATTTAAGATGAAGCATAAGTAGTCTGGGATTTTTATGCAAACTTGTTCTCTGACTTTATGTATGAATCTAGGTTTAGACTTTGCAAGGAGGTCTGGCTGCCTCTCTGCATTTAGGTGGAGGGGGGTGCACCTGTATTAGCCATTTGGTTGGATTGGGCTTTTGAGGGAAATCTCTTGCTTGTCCCCAGTTCCTGCACTTCAGTAGCGTACTCAGTGTGCTACAGCCACTCATAGGCTCGTTGTGGAGTCAGACCAGAGTTAGTCTGCAGTAAATCCCACGAAAATAAGGTAATGTGGCTGTAGGATCCTTGGCACCAGCTATTTCCATCTGCTTCTTTCAGTGTGCAATGTCTGCTGGTATACCCTCAGCAAGGTCTGCCGTTGGGGTGCGGCTAATGTCTGAAAGCTACTGCTCAGCTCCCGCCTTGTGCACAGGTTGCTGCTGGAGTTGACTTGCAGAGCCATTTCAGTGCTAGTGCTGCCTTGCAGTTGATGACCTGCCCAGTGCCTAATTCCGGCTGAAATCTGAGAGGCCTGAAGTGAGATTCTCAAAGTAACTTTTCTCCTGCTTCTCTCACAAGTAGGGATTTGTTCCTTAAGTGCTCTCAGATCTGAGGGCCCTCAGTGCCGTTTCCATACCAATATTCAAGTTGTTTGATTCCTCTCATACACAGGTCTCCTCTGAATTGGAGATAACTTGGAGTCAAAGGTATCCTGCTAGTGGAGGAATGCTTGTAATGAATTGAAATCCTTGGCTAAAAGCTGTGCTGCAGTTTTATAGATTCTGTCATAACATTTTAGGTGTACATTTTAATAAAGTTCAGCAAATCGGTTCAGAGTCCCTGATCCTGCGAAGTACCCTGCTTTAGGTTCACCTTTGAATCCGTTCTGCTTTTTAATGCGCATTTTCCTATGGAGCTTTTCTCACTTTGTAATTTTGGGATTTGGATCAGAAAGAGAGACTAAATAATGTGAGACTTTTAATAAGTATTCTTTTCTGACAACATTTGTGAGTGCACAGGAGTTTTGTGCGAATACGTAGAGATGCATACTTGAGCTAGTGACCTGCCTTTCTGTGGACCTTCCAGGAGGCACCGACTGCTTTTTGTAATGGGTTTATAAACGAAGGATTCAGCATGAACCATAAGAATGCATTTTTGGGCAGGGGAAAGAGTAGGTGTATATGTATATATCTAGTCCAATAGGTGGGGGAGGGAAGGGAGAATCGTACAAAGAGCTGTTCCTTAGCTCATCAGTTTACCCTGGCTAAGGAAAGATCCATTAATATAAAACATTCCCTAGATACTTTTCCACTGAGTTATCTGTTACTTTTGTGCTTCTTGCTCAGACCAGACTTCCAGAGAACGTAAAAGTTGCAGGATTTCACTTGGAAGTTTTAATTTTATTATACAGTTGTATAACAAACAACTATATGTAGAGCTGAAGCTCCATCTGATAGTGGATTACCTTATGCTTTCTTGAAAAAGTTGCTGTGGGGATAGAAAATACAAAGAAAAGGAGGGGAAGGACAGGCAAAAGTGATTTTCATTCCACTTGACAGAGAGAGAAGTAATTTTCCAAAGGCAGCAAACTGGAGTTTGTGGACAGCCAGAAGAATCTCCATTCTCAAATCTTTTATTTGGAACAATATTCCATGCCTCTCTTAAACTGTTTTGCAAGGGTTATTTGGTGAGAGATCTCAAATTTCCTCTAGTTTGGTTTTTACAGTTCTGGGATGAAGGCTTTATCTGGGCACCAGCAGGAGGGTGATGTGAAGCCTTTCTGTGGTGGATATAGGTAAACCCATTGGTGTTTCTAGGAACAGAAATTGCTGCCCTGGCTAACATCTTGCTCTGTTCTGCTCAGAGGGGGACAAACCAGCTCTGCAACGGGCAGTCTAAGGGAAAACAGTTCCAGAATCGCAGAACTGCCAAGGTGGGAAGGGACCTCGAATGATCACCTGGTCCAATCTTTCATAGGAAACGGAGCTTAGATGAGATTATCTAGCTCCTTGTCCAGCTGAGTCTTGCAAACCTCCAGTGATGCAGATGCCATCACATCCCTGTGGAAGTTCCAGGGAATGATTGTTCTCACTCTGAAAAATTTTTCTTATATCAAGATGAAACACCTGATAGTACAACTTGTACCCATTGCCCCTTGTCTTCTCCATGTGGTGCTTTGTGAAGAGAGCGCCTTTGTCATCTTTGTAACTGCCCTTCAAGTACTGGAAAACTGATGAGATCCCCCCTGAGTTTTGTCTTCTCTAAGGAGAAAAGAACTAGCTTCTAAGTCCTTCCTTATAGGGCACATTTTCCAGTCCTTTGATCATCATCATGGCCCTCTTTTGGACCCTCTCCAGCCTGTCTCCATCTTTCATGAATTGTGGGGTCTTGAAGTGGACACAGTTTTGTCCTAGACTTCATTAACTTGGGGTTGACTTACACACCCAAGCACAGTGATTTACATCTGTTCTGAAGTACCCATTTATGCAGATAGAGAAGTTGAGGTGTGTATGGGGAAAAGCACTTCAGCCTGAGCAGCAGCATGCCCTGTGGTTGTGAGCCCTGTACCCTCACAATGTAAGGTCTGGATACATGGTGAAGCCTCATGCTCTGTAGTGCAGCGCTGTGGGGTCAAATGGACAAAATATTGAAATTTAGAGCCATGAAGCACCCTGTCATAAGCTTCTGATTGATTCTTTGTAAAAATCACTTACCTTTTTGGCTGCCTGTGGGGACAGAGGGGCTGCTCAGCCTGTTACACGACGAGAGCTTACCTTACAGCTCTTTGTAGAACCTGACTCTTGGCTTACAAAATGTGATACCCAATTACTTTGTGTAATTTCTTGCTTTTAACAGTTTAATCTGCCAGCATGCCATGTGCAAAGGCTACTCTCAGGTATCTGTTTTAGGAGAGGAGTGGACCTCCTGCCCTCAATCCGTGCTTGTATCCTTGCCTTCCCTTTGGAGCCTTCCTCCACGCGAGGAAGTGTCCCAGGGGCCCAGGGTATCGGTAGGGGCAGCGCTGCCCTGGAGCTGAACCACAGCAAATCACCGAACTTCCCCAGTGAGGAAGTCGAACGCCCCTAGGTTTTCTGCTTGTCATGCAACATTTTCAAACTGTTTCCTCTTCTGCTAAGATGACAACAAATCGACTCTACAGTTTTCAGGAAATTTTCAGGTGAAATATGTATGGAAAATAATATTCACACCGTTGTGGAAAAATACTGACTTATGGCAAACCCAATTTTTTGTAGGGGAAAATAATGATTTTTTTTAACATATCAATTTTTAGAGAAGAAAAGTAGCTGTAAAACTTTGGAAAATGCTAAATAAGTTAAATAGTTCTGTGAATGATTTCCTAGTTTTGAATAAAATCTCATCTTTCACAGAAGAGAAAATCTGCATCAAGCATTTTAGTAGTCACTCATAACTGATGTTTTTCTGCCTGCCACTTATGACTCTTATGCAGCCACTGGAAGTGGCATCAGTCTCTTTAGGCTTCCCTTTAAAATAAATGAGAAATGTATATAGTAATATGTTAATGTATTGTAATGACAAAATTCTGCAATGTGCATTTTACATTCATCTATTACATATAAAAACTGAGTGTCACCCTTCCTATAGAGAGCTATTGCCCTGCAGGCTTTGGAAAGAGGATATTCTGCAGATGCCTAGAGCTTTTCATCCTTCTTTATTTTAGGATATTAATTGCTGAGTTTGCTGTGATACAGAATTTTACTCAAACTTTCAACCACGTCACCAGGTCTCAAATTTCTACTCGAGTATTTTGGGCAAATGAATCTGTATGAGGATATGCAGTTTTGTTGAAGAAACAAGAAGTATTATATCCACTATATACATATCTATCTGTATTTATCTGTCTCGTACTTGAATGACTCGAATTTGACTTCGGTTAGAAGGCAGGCTCTAATACTGCTGTGAATGTTGCACAAGGATATTCAGTAACTGGAGAGAGATGCCAAATTTTTCCATACTTAAGTTATGTAACTGAGTAAGATTTGGTACTGAATTTTCATATACCTCAGATTTAATTTTCAGGAGAGCTTCTCTGATTTCTGTATGTGTTGGAGATCAGTTTTTTATTCATTAGGGTGACTTCTAAAGGATGGAGTTCCTGTTGCTGAATCTTGGTTCTATTTCTATGCCGCTCAAAAGTGAATGGAAGTTTAAATTTTTTACTGTCTATTTTCAAGATTTTCTGAAATAAATATCAGGTTTTCTGGCCCTTCTGTGAGTAAAAAAGAGTCACCAATGGTTCATCTGCTGTTTGGCAAGATGTATAGCTTGCTTTGGGACATCTGGGAGTGGGAGGATCTTGGGTGTGAAAGGTGGTTGTTAGAGAAGGCATGCCAAGGCTCTAATTAATATGGCTCTTTCTCTTTTGGTTGTCTTCACTAGGAAACTGCTGGAAGAATGCTGCGACCCTGGGCAGCTCTTTGCTATGACAAAGCTAAATTCCCCTATGGGAAAGAACCTCTGGTTTGATGGGGAATTTTTATATTCTTTCACTATTGACAATGCAACTTACTCTCTCTTCCCACAGGTTAGTAACCTTTTTTTTTTTCTCGCTTTAAGTATTAATATATTAATTAATTAATATACTAAATGGTAACATGGTACAAATGAGTATAAACTGCTAAATGATTGTCAAGAAACTGTAACTTCATTTCTCAGTGCAAAGCAATCTCCTCTGCTTTTTACTTCTGTGTTCTGAAAATTATGAAATGTTTGTATGCATGGTAACATTTCCCTGGCCACTCTTCAGGTGTGCAGATGTACACAGGAGGTGAGATTGGGCCATGCATCTTGATTTTGAAAATGATGCTAAGTTCTGGCTATTTTGGGAAGGTGATTTCTGCATTTCAGTCAGTGATAGTGCTCGCTAGGAGTGTGATCCCTCGTCTTGGTTGCTTTGGTTCAGATCTGCTTAGCTAAGATGCGACAGCGCTTTGTGTGAAGGTGTCCAAGTTATTTCCAAGTTAATGAAGTTTATTGATGGCAAGCATCGTGAGCCAAATAACAAAAGTCAACGACTTGGTTGACTCTTGCTGTGTTATGAGTATTAGAAGTGGTATGGTGTTGTTCAGCAAAGGTGTGTGGGGGTTTAAGTGCATGGTTATTGAGCGCTGGGAATTTTTAATACTGAGTGAGGCTTCTTGTATTTTTAATTAGTATATGAACCGATGTTAAGTAATGAGTTTATTAAATTGAATTTTGTATGTGAAAGGAGAGATGTTTCACGTGGCTATAGATATAAAGAAAGCCAAGCGTCTGGACGTATTAATTGATTTATGTGTTGCTTTAATTTCTCAGATTAAAGGCATAGGTATTTTCTGAGCCTCACACTCAGTGTTGAGTTGTTCACACCAGGCTTTTCATTTGTTGCTGTTTCAGTTAAACATATAGCAAAGTTTTCATTAAACTCCTCCTCCAAATAAAACATCAGAAAGTTTATTTTTTTAAAAAAAACAGTAGCTTCCAGATCTCAACAACGGAGTTATGACTTTGAATTAGTTTCTTTTAGTGGAGAAAGAGTGAGGGCAAACTGAAGTGTAGG